AGGGGGAGGGGGGGGGGGTTTCGGCAAACCCCCCCCCCCAAACAACGCCCAGCGTTGTAAATTATGTAGGCGCTGATCACATCGAGGTCAACAAGACCTAGAGATAGTGACTTGTAAAATTTCCTGTACTTCATACACAGTTGCAGCGATCACCTACAACATGTAGCATAAGTGTTTAGAAGTCCCCCTATCATGTACAATACGTGATTTAAGTACTTACCGTTGTAATCGTAGACGTCCACTCCTCCCATGTATGTTTGATAGTCTTTCACTATCCGTGTGCACGCTACCTCTTGCTGGTCTCCAGTGAGCTTATCGCGGTGCACAATACAATTCATCTCCACGCTGCCACCGGTACTCAGCATATAGACAGCACGAGTGTCCCACCAGCGCACCAGACGCATGTCAGGAACATAAGAGGCTTTTGTGACGACGAGCGTTCCACGTTCAATATTTGCAGGGCGATTTCTTGGTACTTGTAGGGTTTTCTTCGCTTCACCTTTCTTCTTCTTAGGGATCAACTGTGCACTCAACCCTTTTCTATCGGTACGGACAGTCCCTATTGAGTAAAATCTCGTTATGATCAATTGCATGTAAAGTGGCACCGCTGTGTAGAATCTGTCGGTCACCACGAGTCGCATGTCGCCGTTTTCCGGTGCCGTCGGACCAAATACTTCATTGATATTGCGAACGACTGCTGCTATGCCGGACTTATAGTCCGTGGAGCTGGTGCTACCAGCACGCTCTTTTTTACCGCAGTACACTTCAAATCTGTAAGATACAACATACAATATAAGTTAGTATGTATGATACATGATAAGAAAACTTTAGAACAGATAAAAACGCAGGTGTGTCCGAAGACACACCTGTTACTCACCGAATGCAGTAGGCGGTTGTGGAGCAGCACAACATGAACAACTTTGTGGCCCATTTATGGGGTTTGTCTTTCATTTAGACCCTCATTCGGTTGAACGCCGACCAAGAGGAAAGCATGGCCTCGTCGAAGGCCATGACGGCCGGGGGAGTAAAGCCAGCAGCGAAACGATTCTGAAGTGCATCAATCACGGGTCGTAATTTTCAGGCTCGATCTGTGGTCGCTCGTGCGTCCTCGTTAGAACTGAAGTGTAAGTTGCATGGCATGTGCATGAAACGGTCACGGTTCATGAACTGACCGAAGCAGCCGCGTAGGATCCCACCTTGATCAGTCGTTCGCCAGTGGTCGTCAAATTCTCTTTGTTGGGGGCGATAGATCTCGCCAGCAACAATCCCACAAAAACACACAACTCACGAGGCGTAACCGACGAAATTCTGAGTGGTTCTTTACGAATGGTCTCACGCGTCTTCCGTTTGAAATTTGCGTGCTTCTTTACACGCGTAGCTTGTTTCAAATATTGCCCTGTTACTCTTTCGTCAATCTTGCTGTCGAAGTAGTTGTTCGTCTCAGTAGCGATGTCTTCCCATTATTCAGGTTGGAAGAAATGGAGGAACGCCCCGGAAGGCGTCGCTGCCGCCGCTA